CTAAAGTGTTGCTGTGGGCTTATTAAAATTGACTTTTGTTTAATTTAAGAGCAATAAAATCTCTTTATTCCTCTCTAATAGCTTTTATAAGTATATATGAAAACATTTAGAGTTATTATTGGCTGCTTTCAGCTATATGCCTCAGGGGCAAAGCCTCTTTGATATTAAGTCTTTGTTTTCATTCTATCAGTTTGTTGACTTTTTTTATTCACCTTTTCTTTTTTGTTAACTAAAAAGTTCTGAACATTATTAAGATTGTAGGTTTTCCTAGTTTAAATACTACTTAGTTGAACCATTTTTTCGTATAACTCAGTGCTTTCATCATGCTGGGAAATCAACGTTTCTTTCATTTCTGCGTAGCTTAAAGTTGCTTCATTCTCAGACACTACAGGACTCCAGTGAGGCTAAAATGTTCCCTTTTTAAAGTAGTATTACATATATAAGCAACTTTTAAAATAATAGTTTACTTTCACTTCAGTTTGACTCTTCCTTGGTGGTGATTGAGTTTGAAAAACTAGTAAACAACACGTGGGGGTGGGGCTCAGTGTGTCTGGACTCCTCAGACCAACTGGTACTACCTGTTAGTGCCATCATACAGGTTCTCTGTGGGCGGAGGGCAGCAGGAAAGCATGTGGCACCACTTCACACTGAGCTCTTGTTGTTTCCTTTTCTCCCTGCAGCACAGATGTCTTTATTTGCACCAGCCCCATTAAACATTACAAACACTGCCCATATGAGAAGGTAAACCCTCCGCTCATCAATAACAGCCTTCATCTAAAATAATCATTAAAGTGCTGTGTTTTTCTAACAGCTCCTATCTGGTGTGTGTGTGTTTCCAGTACGCCTGGGTGGAGAAACATTTTGGTCCTGACTTTCTGGAGCAGGTCATCCTGACCAGAGACAAAACTCTGATTGCTGGTGACCTCCTCATAGACGACAAGCCTGACATTCAGGGTGAGAAGTTTTTCTTCTGTGACATGCAGATGACTCTAAAGTATTTTTCATGCTTTATATTAGATAAACATAAGCTGAGTCATTAGAACAGCAGTGAGCTTTTATGTACCAAGGAAAACAGTGATCCTAACTGACCTGTGCAAAACTAACCTTAAATCATTAATTAGGAATCATTTATTTGGAAAGAAGTTTTTAAATCTGTTGGCTACACCCAGGGCTGAGGTATGCTACACCTGCAAACTAAATGGGACACATTTGCCCTGAACCGATGAGAAATAACATCACTGATGCATCAGGCATTAAAAGGGTAACGGTTCCCAGTATTTACGTAGAGAGAGTTGATTTTAAAATATTTCTGAAGCAAATGAATCCTGCAGCTCAGTGTTACTAATGAAAGAATAAGGAGTGATCGGCAGTGAAAACTTTCTGGACCATTAAAACTCCTCTGAACTCTCTAAGGATGATGTCACTCGGAAATCCCACATCCTCCGCATCCTTTGTGCAAAGCAAAGCCTACAGCCTCTGCAGTTCCTCCTATCTCGCTCCGCTCAGAGTTCCTTGGAGCTTGAGGAAAGCATGCGGGATATTATTCTTTCTTAATTCATAGGAGAAATACGAGGTAATTAGCGCTTAATTTAATATGACATAATTACAACTCACCAGCATCCATCACACATGCAGTTTCTGCCCAAACCTTTTCTTTTGTGATGGGGATAATTAGGATCATATAAAGTTGGTTTGTTCTCTACTTCCAAACTTGGCATCTCTTCAACCCTGCGATAAAAAGTTTCTTTTAAAGTTGTGAGATTTGCTCTTGGAAGTTGTTGTGACTGGATTTGATGAAACTTTTAAGCCTCTCAGTATAAAATGAATATTTTGATCATGATGAGAAATCTGCTTCCTGTTATGTTGAAGTACCAACAGTTTGATCCAATAATTAAATTAAACTGCCTTATTTTTTGGGAATATATAGGAATAATGCTCTAATTTGCAGTTTGTTTAAAAACCGGATCTCTTTAAATTTTTTTTTACTGTTTGGTGCGTTTGCTATTGCGGATCTTGAACCGGCCGGCTTCCAACTGACCGGATCGGAGCAATAAACAGCTTGTCTCCGTATTTTGACGGAGAAGACGGAGTGGACGGTGAAGTTTGGAGGAGTAGCGCTGGATGTGGAACAGTTCTCATTGATTAACATGACTGTGCAAGTGCGCCGTTTATTTTAGGGCTTAATAAACATCAAAACAAATAGGATTCCTTGTTTGTTTTTTTTTTTACCTGAGTGAAGCGTTCGCTCTAGATCAACCTGATCTGACTTTTTTGAAGTCATGCTACAAACTCGAGCTGTAACATTTGTTTTTTGGGGGTTTATTGTGACAAACAAACACAAAGAATTTGGGAGACGAACCTTTTCCTCCAAGAAGCCATTTCCTCTCCCGGGCCTTTACCGTTGTTTAGATGCACCCAGCTTCCAGTCTGCTCTGACAGGACTCCCAGAACAGCATGCACACAGCATGATGCTGCCTCCACTGTGTGTCTCTCTGTGGATAGCAGGCTGTCTGGTTTTAGGTTGGTTATTCATTAATGTTCACTAACGCACCTCTGATGGATTCACAGAGCAGCTTGAGTTCTGCTGAGATGAAATGAGGTGAACCTTTAATCTGCTGTGATGTTAAATCCTGATAAAATCAGTTAAAGTTCTTTGCTCTCTAACAGTATAAAAACTTCAAAGTATGTTCAGTGTAATTATCTGGAAGCATCATCAACATTGAACGATTTTATTCTTTAAAAACTGCATGAATTATGCTTCTTCCAGCTGTTCATCTGGAACCACGTTCCAACCTTCAGAGTTTTCCTTCTAGTTAAACATGAGTCTGTGGTGACTGTATTATGTTCATGTCCCCCAACCAGGTGTGGAACCGAGACCAGTTTGGGAACACATCCTGTTCACTGCCTGCCACAACAAGCATCTGTCCGTCGGTCCCTCACAGAGACGCCTCCTGTCTTGGTTGGACGACTGGCGTGGCGTCCTGGACAGCAAAAGGCAGTGAGGGATCCTGATTCCCCCGCATCCTTTGCACGCTGGTAACCAGGACAACCAGAGGGTCATGGACGGCACGTCGTCTCACTTTTAGAGTTGCGTCAGGATGAATGGATCAACCTTTCCTGGAAGAAAAAAAAAAAAAACTAAAGTCTGCTGCAGGCTTGAGAGAAAACGTTCCCTTATTTTACCACTAGATGGCAGTGTGACACAAGCTGAGAAGATACAGACTGCTACACTTCCACTAAGCACAAACTGAATAATTGCATGTCGGTTTTAATGACAGCCTTTTTGTTCCTACATTAGACCTTTCCACATAGAATCCGTCCCGTTTTATTTTTAGACTGGAGTAAAGGTTTATTCATAGCATCATTACAAAAAGGCCAGTTGCATAAATGCGTCTGAACTGTGATTCACCCACAAACATCAGGGCTCATCACACAGGAAAGTGAACAAAAATAGCCTCCCAGACCTGGGATAGTGCGAGTCGGTGCACAAGACTAAGTGTTGCTAATTTCACATCCACCTGATTGAAACACGGCCGTAACTCAGAGAGGTTTACACCCAGTCTATAGCGGCACCAATGTTTTACTTTTAATGTTGCACCTAAATATGACTGAATATAAATATTTTAAATGTAGAGCACAATGGAGCTAATTTGTCTTTGGCATGCTCCATTAATAAAGTCTTTAAAAAGTACTTATCTGGCTGAGTTTGGCTCTAATTTATCAGCCCAATTCTGGGCTCCTTGATCCAAACCAAGGCTGATTTTAAAAAACCAACTTGGAATAAGAGGCTGCCGACATTAAAAGGAGACTAATATTAAAGGTATGGTGGTGGCAGCAGTATGCTGAGGGATCATATGAAGGTGGACGGTCCTCGCATGTTTTGGTTTGAATCGACGTAAACTTCAGCTTTAAAAGGTGACGGATGTTTGACCAGATGGTATTGGGACTGAATGGATGTAATTGAGCTGCTGTTATTGAAAGGAAATCCACATTTAGTGGAGGATGTAACGCCCCAGCATCCTGACGTTAAGGAACCATTTAAATCTCTCCATAAAAGTCCCTAAATTAACTTTATATTTAACTAAAACCCCTACCTGAAAGTGCAGAAGTTCACTTTTGTTTTTATGCAGTTAAAACGACGACTTTGGTGCTCTTATTTTTCTTGTGATTCGTTAGCATTTTCACAAAGATCTATGCATCTCACTTCTCATTCTAAGGGAAACCTACAAGCAATCGCATGTTGCCAAAAAAACAAGTTCAGAACAGAAATAGTCACTTTAAACTTGTTGCTTGAAATGTTTTCCTATTTTGAATGATTAAATATGAGAAAATATCGATATGTCCTGACATATCCTGTCTTATATGTTGTACTGTATGTAAAGTCCAGCCTGTTTACACCTAGTGTGAGAGTAGAGGAGGTCGTAGGGTTGAACCCTGAACTAACACCGGAGGGATGATGTTTTTAAGCAAGAATTGAATCCCAATATTTGAGAGGGAGTTTTTCTCTCACCTTGGCCACAAAAACGACACTAAGCTTTAGATTTTAGTGCGTTTGGAAGCAGCTGTTTGCTCTGCAGGGCCTCTTTATGACGGCTTGTTTTTTGGTGCCTGGTTAAAATCGTTTTTTTACGTTTGGTTTTACTGCTTTGTTTTCTAGACGTTAAAAGAATAAAAAATGCATAAACAGCCATCAGTTTCTGTCTATGAGAAAATCTATTGTGTCTCTTTGTTCTTTTCTGTTGTTACTTCAGGTTCATCTGTTAAAACAAGCCGATGGAGGCTCAGAGTTTTGACAGATGTTTTGGAAACTGCTCCCCCACCCCCAGAGTGTAACATCCCAGCATGGTGGGGTGGTGGGAGAGTTTGAAAATGATTTTCACACCTCTTTGTCCTTGTTGTCGTCTCCTCCCTCCGTGCATCAGATCAGTTAATAAACAGGATCTAATAAATTGGTTTGAACTGTTTTCCAAACTGTTTCCACTTTATTATTCCAGCAGGAGAGATTTTGCTGTGAGTGAAAAAACTCCTGAAGTTTTGTAGTTGTTTCTGTTTTGTGCTATAAGATTATTTTATTCTAAAACATTCACATCATATGAATAATAAATAGTTAAACAAAATATCGCTCAGTGACTCTAGGAAGTTTAAACATGGAGGACTTTCAGTCATTTCAAGGTCTTTATAAGTATGAAAAAAAATCTAATTTTTAGAGGGTTTTTTTCCAGTCATGGTGTCAGAAAGTCGTTCTTTCTCTACTACCTTCCTTTCCTCTGTTCATCATTTGCCCTTATTTCTTCCCCTCTGTTCTTCTCATTTGTTTTTTTTGCAAAATTCCTTCCAGGTGTTTCCTCTTTCTTTGTCTTTCTCAATACTTTTTTTTACTTCTCTCTTTCCCTCCTTGTTCCCGTCCTTTCCTCCTTATATATTTCTTTCATTTCCATTTTTATGTCCTTCCTTTTCCCTCTTCACCCTTGTTCTCCTTTTGCTATCATCTTCTTTTCCTGCACCATTTCCTATCCTTACCTTAATTCCTTCTTGTCTTGCATCCTTTCTTCCTTGTGTTCCGCATTATTTTCCTTCCTTCCTTCCTTCCTTCCTTCCTTCCTTCCTTCCTTCCTTCCTTCCTTCAACTCCTGATTTCCTTTCGCTCTTATGCCAATTTCTTCATCTTATTCCATTCTTCCTTTCCTTGTGTCAATCGTTTCCTCTTTCTGCATGTAATGTCTTTCCTTTCTTCCTCATGCCTTCCTTCCTTCCTTCCTGTCAATCGTTTCCTCTTCCTTACCTTTTTTCTTGATGTAATGTCTTTCCTTTCTTCCTCATGCACCTTTTTTCCATCCTTTCATCTAGGGTTACCTGAAAATGTGGAGGATATAGTGACCCTCTGATATATTTATTTTCCAGCCAAAATAGAATAAACTAAAATGCCATAGAGGAATAGCAGCCAAACCCAGCATGACTTTAGAACAGCCTTTACAAACAAGCTGATGTTTGCTTTTAAGTCAAACTCAACTATTAAACATTTTTCTTATCAGAACCATCTGAATTAATCGAAGTGCTTCAACAGTCGCTATGATAAGGGCTGTCGGTAAGGAAGGATCGATTAAAAAGGAAGCAGGATGCTTCCTATCTACAGTTCATTTAGTGTAGGGACCTTTTAATGTCTTAGCTGCTGCTAGGAGCTATACAGCTTCTCACAATCATTGATGGGATGATCAGGAGCAGCCCACCTCTTGGAGTTTAACTAAATACATAATTTATGCACATGTACTATCTGTGATACATGCTGCTGTATGCTACATTTTGTAGTGTTGGGATTTAAGGAACAATCCTTGATAGCCACCTGAAGAACATTTCCAGGATTAAAGGACGAATGTCTGACCAGGATCAAAGAAACTCATTCATGTATTTATCTTTAGTAGAATTGATGGAACAGTGTCTTCACATTTTTGTCAAAAAGGTCCATCAGCTGATCCAAAACTCTGCTGCCAGTGTTCTCACTAGAACTAAATAAGTAGAGCACATCAGCCCGGTTCTGAAGTCCTTCCACTGACTCCCTGTAGCTCAGAGAATAGACTTTAAAATCCCTCTGTTAATCTATAAATCACTGAATGGATCAGCACCTCATAACAGATTTGTTGTCAGTGTATCAGCCTTCCACTCAGGTCTTCTAGTTCCAGCCTACTCTGTTCACCCAGAACTAGAACCAAACATGTGGAAGCAGCATTTAGTTCCCATGCTCCACTGATCTGGAACAAGTCAGTAAAAAGTGCTGAAAGCCTGAGTTCCTTAAGTCAAAGTTAAATACCCATTGCTGCCTTTCAATGTTAAAGTTCATGGTCTAACAGTTTTGCTATACTTCCTGCTTTTTTCATGTTTTTATCATTATTTGCTTTTATGCTTTTAATTATATTTTAATGTTTCATTCATGTAAAGCACTTTGAATCCTCTTTGTGCTAATTTGTGCTATAAATATAAACGTGTTTTGCCTTTCCTCGCTCACTTTAAACTTCCACTTATAATTTGGGGCTTTAAAAAAGAAAGACAGCTTAAAAAAACTTCAAGGATTTGGTTCTTAAAGAAGTCCAAAGTAAAAGAAAAAAAAAATATCAGTTTGCTGTAGGATTTAGTCCTTTTGTTAAAAAAAATCCTTTACCATTAAGAGTTTCTTTGCTGAATATTTTTCTTCACGTTGAATTAATACGTGAAAGTGTGGATGGGGTTCAGTGGAAAAGCGTTTTTTACACCAGCACCCTACCTTTCAGCCTCCCATGACAAGTTTTCGCCCACCTTGTTTTTCTTCCTTTACTGTGACTGTGTGCTTGACTACAAATAAAACGCATCATTCTGATCCAAGAGGAGAGGATTCAGCTAAATGTATGGCTGACTGCCTCCTGCTGGTTTTCCTTAGATGGAAAACTTTTAACCAATATGATGGCTTTGATAGAATTTTCTCTATATAGCACCTTGAGATGACATGTGCTATATATAGTATTTGTGCTAAATAAATAAACTCAATAGGGTTTCAACTTCTTTCAGAATAAAGAGGGCACTCCTTGACTAGGCATTGTTTTCAACAATACTTATATGGGTATTTTTTCACTTCTTTTTTATTACATGATTCGGCAAACATTTTACTTTGACCTGTAGTTAATAAGTCACTTCATTTTGTTCCTAAAAATGGGACCGTTCCGTTTTTTTAAGGGGCAGTTGTCCACCATGGTCATCAACCCTTTGGACAGGTGTTTGTTTCAGATTGGACTGTCGGAAAAGGAAGGGACAAATTCTTTAGAGGTTCACCAACTCTCAAATAATATCCGCATGTCTCTAATGAAAGTCCTTCCATCCTGTTTGTGACCTGAGCTTCCATGGCACACTTCCGAAAGTAGTTAACTGATCTAATGGATCAGCTATCCCTCGGCTGTTGAAAGCCTCTGAGGAGGAACCCGTCCGGTACGTTCCAGTTCATCGCCTTCCAGCTCATCGCCCTCCAGCGTCATCTTCTTGTTGTTAAACTTAGGTTGAGTAACAGCAGACACTCAGTCATCCATTGATAAAAAAAACAACCTTCTTCAGCCTTTTTGCCTTCCATCTCATCAGAAAAACCTCTGCTTTTTTTTTTTTT